ATGGTGGATGGGTGTAGGTGATGGAGGTGGAAGAAGGGTTGGGGTGGTCGGCTATGGTGGATGGGTGTAGGTGACGGAGGTGGAAGAAGGGTTGGAGTGGTCGGCTATGGTCGATGGGTGTAGGTGATGGAGGAAGAAGAAGGGTTAAGGTGGTCGGCTATGGTGGATGGGTGTAGGTGACGGAGGTGGAAGAACGGTTGGGGTGGTCGGCTATGGTGGATGGGTGTAGGTGATGGAGGAAGAAGAACGGTTGAGGTGGTCGGCTGTGGTGGACGGGCGTGGGCGATGGCGGCAGAAGAAGGGTTGGGGTGGTCGGCTATGGTGGACGGTTGTGAAGGATGGGGGTGGAAGGTGTTCTCGCTTGTCCTTTGGGCACCCGGGCGAGGCGGGAGGAGTAGAAGTTGGTGGGGAAGAGGGTGCAAGATAGCCAAAAGTGTCGCTCCGCCGCTCCATAGATCTGGAGCCCTATCAACCTACTGCCCACATAGTGCCTGAGTGAGGGCATGAGTGTACAACATTCATAAAATGGCTCGAGCCACAGCTACCTAGCTATACCAGTGAAAGCACAAGTGAGAACAGCACAACACACAAGTGAACAGCAACACAACATCCCATAGATAACCCGGAACACAACTACCTAGTATACCAGTGAAAGCACAAGTGTGAACATCACAAAACTCAAGTGAACAGCAACCCAACATCCCATAGGTAACCCGCAGCACAGCTACCTAGTATACTAGTGGAAGCACAAGTGTGAACAGCACAAGACACAAGTGAACAGCAACACAACATCCCAGAGATAACTCCGAACACAAATACCCAGTATACTAGTGGAAGCACAAGTGTGAACAGCACAAGACACAAACGAACAACAACACAACATCCCACAGATAAACTGGAACACAGCTACCTCCTATACTAGTGAAAGCACAAGTGTGAACAGCACAAAACACAAGTGAACAGCAACACAACATCCCACAAATAACTCGGAACACAGCTACCTCGTATACTAGTGGAAGCACGAGTGTGAACAGCACAAGACACAAGTGAACAGCAACACAACATCCCACAGATAACCCGGAACACAGCTACCTAGTATACTAGTGAAAGCACAAGTGTGAAGAGCACAAAACACAAGTGAACACCAACACAACATCCCACAGATAACTCGGAACACAGCTACCTAGTATACTAGTGGAAGCACAAGTGTGAACAGCAAAAGACACAAGTGAACAGCAACACAATATCCCACAGATAACCCGAAACACAGGTACCTAGTATACTAGTGAAAGCACAAGTGTGAACAGCACAAAACACAAGTGAACAGCAACACAACATGCCACAGCTAGTATACTAGTGAAAGCACAAGTGTGAACAGCACAAAACACAAGTGAACAGCAACACAACATCCCACAGATAACCCGGAACACAGCTACCTAGTGTACTAGTGAAAGCACAAGTGTGAACAGCACAAAACACAAGTGCACGGCAACACAACATCCCACAGATAACCCGGAACACAGCTACCTAGTGTACTAGTGAAAGCACAAGTGTGAACAGCACAAAGCACAAGTGAACAACAACACAACATCCTATAGATAACCCGGAACACAGCTACCTAGTGTACTAGTGAAAGCACAAGTGTCAACAGCACAAAACACAAGTGCACGGCAACACAACATCCCACAGATAACCCGGAACACAGCTACCTAGTATACTAGTGAAAGCACAAGTGTGAACAACACAAAGCACAAGTGAACAGCAACACAACATCCCACAGATAACTCGGAACACAGCTACCCACTATACTAGTGGAAGCACAAGTGTGAACACCACAAGACACAAGTGAACAGCATCACAACATCCCACAGATAACCCGGAACACAGCTACCTAGTATACTAGTGAAAGAACAAGTGTGAACAACACAAAACACAAGTGAACAGCAACACAACATCCCATAGATAACTCAGAACACCGCTACCTAGTATAGTAGTGGAAGCATAAGTGTGAACAGCACAGGACACAAGTGAACAGCAACACAACATCCCACAGATAACTTGGAACACAGCTACCTAGTATAGTAGTGAAAGCACAAGTGTGAACAGCACAAAACACAAGTGAACAGCAACACAACATCCCACAG